CTTCCGTGCTAACTTGGCAAAACTCGGTATCATATATCTGTTCTCTCTCTCTCTCTACTGCAAATTTCTAAATGCATTTTTTTTTTCTTCCTCTCCTCTTCCGTTCTCTTTCACTCTATCGCATCTAATATCCTCTACCGATCCTATCTTCATCCCGTCATCTCCTCCCACGGCCAAGTCAAGCCAATCAAACGATCAAACCCAATCAAATTAAAATCCCTCGGCCCCTCGCCCCTAACCGATCCCCAAGGGGAGGCTGAGCGGAAAAGCCCTTGACCCTTCGCATCTACCAATTCCAGGCTCCTAAAAAGTCGCGTATGACGACACGCCAGTATCCGAGGCTCTGCACGCCTCCGTTCGGTTCACGGAAGAAGGGTGAATCATTTGACACTGTGAAGCCAAACATATACATATATACAGGCACGTAAAACAATCTAACATATACACATAGCAACAATCTCTTTCTTTCCTTCTCTTTCTTTCCTTCTCTCTCTCTCTTTCTCTCTCTCTCTCTCTCTCTCTCTCTCTCTCTCTCTCTCTCTCTCTCTCTCTCTCTCTCTCTCTCTCTCTCTCTCTCTCTCTCTCTCTCTCTCTCTCTCTCTCACGTACACACACGCACACGCACACGCACACGCACACGCACACGCACACTCGCACTCACTCACACTCACACTTACTCTGGACGGATTTTGAATACTTCTGTAATGCGACAGCTCTCCTTACTCACCATTGCAGGACCACACCAAGAAGCAGAATGGACGTGACATATTTGCAGTATAAAGCAGGACAACATTACCAAAGGCGGGCGAAATCTTACAAGATTTATCCCAATGTTTCAAACATTTTCCAAAGACAACACAGATAGAACAAAATCTTGAGGTTTTAACATTTCAACACTTCACCATCATTTGTTCTCGATAAATACTTGACTTTCTTACAACACTTCCTTTCAGAAGTTGCCGATTTAAAACAGATCCTTCCGTATATCCTTTGCCTCATCTACTACAAAAGTTTTACAACACAAAACATTTTCACAATGCAACAAGGAAAGTAGATTAATGTACACACGATCAACGGCAAACAGACATGCATGGAGGCACAGAAAGCACATCGTCCTGTCGGAGTTCGCGACACTGCAGGTCCCCAACAGACGCGAGACACACGGACACTGGGACAAGAAACACCGACTGACGCAAGAGTCGACGCGCGCGCCACTAACACTGTCGACGACGTCCCACCCTCAATGCTTAACTTTCACCCTATCACACATGCTCATGGCGTCCGCCTGAGATGAAGGGAGAACAGGAGGCGGCAGCGGCGTCCTTCGGCCGGGTAACGCATCGCCTCCCTCAGGGACGCACCACCTTGGCCTGCCACTGGTCATTTCCCAGGCAAGCTCGAAAATCCTACGTCACTGGTATTTCGCAGAACATTGCATGGTGGGAGCCTAGTCCAATCTCTTCCATTTGGATTAAGCTTTCAACATCGGTTATCTAGAAGCCAATTGTGGCACCGTACTTGACTTGTCATTCAACAAAGGAGATTTTCATAAAAGGAATTCTACTTATAAGTAAATCCCTCTGATGGACCAAACTATTAGGAATAGATAACAGCACGACAATGGCGTACCAAGTGAATACTAAATGAATTACATTTTCTTCCTACATGTAAAACTTCACTGGCATTGAGATTAAATTACTTTCCCCCAAATATGGATAAAATGAAGATAATCTACACGTAGTTTCAATTAGAAAATAAATCCTATAGAGATCCGCGGAGGATCATACGAAATATCATCCGAAGGAACAAGAATAACAGCAAGCGAATTAGGCTTCACATTACACTGTAAATGTCTTTAAGGTCTTGAATGTCAATTTATTATGCAGGCAAGTGATCTGTAACTCGTCCGAGATCATGATGCACGCACTCACGAGCGTTATGCTTTTTGTGCCCTCTCCGCAAGCAGCGTCCGAGCCCTTCCAGGCGGGCCAGACCGCTGCCCGCCCGGCCCTTCCCTCCTGCCCACTCCAGCATCTGGTACGCACCGCCTCCACCTCACTCCGTTGCACGAGCCTCCACAGCCCAACTTCGCCTCCAGCTCTCCCTCCTACACCCCTGGAGATGCTTCCTTGAACAGGCCTGGTGTTGCGACACCCTTGCCTAACCCAACGCAGCAGGAGGGGGCTTTTCGGCTGCAGCTCGACTCACAGATGGAAAGAACTCGGCTGGAAAAGTCGCACAAAACTCAAACTCGCTCTTTCTCTATGCAACCATTTTCTCGACGCGTTTTAACTCTTGAGATTGTTTCACTCACTTCATTTCTCTTTATCATCTTGTAGCGACCCAAGACACACACTCGCACGACTATCGGCATGCACACAACTTCATGACCGAATTTCATTTCTTTTCTCCGCCGTAGGGTTCACTACACACACTAACAGGGTTCGACGATGACACTGCGCCAACTAAATTCTACTCGCACACACTCAGCACTACAGACACAGAATCCAGGGTGCGGGCGCTGCTGCGGGCGTGGACGGCCAGGTGAGCCACGAAGGGAGGAACACAAAGCTGGCGTCGCTACCCGTGCGATCCTCCCGGTCCGGGCGCCGCTCCGCTACTGAATGACTCGGGAGACGGGCCCAGGGTGGCAAGCGGGCGGGAGGGCGGGAGGGCGCAGGGCGGGTGGCAGGCCAGGCAGGCAGGCGCGAGGCAGCCTCATCACTGGGAGCGCCGCACCACCCTTCCACATGCCCCCTCCCCTTCCACCTTCTCCACACTTTTCCTCCACCTTCTCACCTACGACGCACGTTCATGGCGAAGGTGAACTTGCTCGTGTTAATTACAGCTTAAAAGTGCCCGCATATACCTGATGCCCTGTCCCCACATGTCTTCCATTACTATAAATACATAGCAGCAGCTGAACCTACTAAAACAGGGGCACCAGCTGTTACACGCGCAAACCCTGTTTACACCTCAGATACTACGGCCAGGTTGCACGCACTCGATGGCCACGGTGCAGGAACGCGGGACGAAATGGTGATGGAGAGAAGGTAGCGTCGCTGCAAGCCTAAATGGCCCGTGATGATAATTCGTGAAGATAAGAAGGTCTATCTGAAGAAAACGGCCTTTGCGAAAACAGTGTGGAAGTGACGTCAGCAAGACACTAAGGTGGGCCATTCATCAGGAGGAGGGAGTGGGAGGAAAGGTGAACGGCAGTGCCCTTCGCGGAAACGGGTGGCACTGCCAGATAAATTGGGCGTGAGCTGCAACTCGGCGAGGCGGTGGCAGGTGGGGACAGATGACCGGCCGTAAGCGTGAGATATGTGCAACCTGCGACGGCCCCGCCAAGCAGATAAACCGTCTCTGCTATCCCGCGCCTGCATCATGACCTGCACTACGACAGGAGAACATGGGCATCCCAGAGCGCTGTATCTTTCCTCGCGTTGTGCCAATGATGCTGCCAGCCGCCGCGAGAATCACGCACATGCTGGTACTTGGTCGCGACGATGGGCGAACTTCCTTGCCCCGCCTGCAATCACTTGCAACACTGACTCGCATCCTGGACCACCCTCACACGGCTCCTTCATGGCCCCCATCTTTCACGACCCATGGCTATTGCACGCTCCCTCCGACCTGTGCATTGCATGATCACAGCCTTTCCTCCCCCTGCCAAGCATGAGTCCTTATCGGGATATCCCTGTCCAAGATGACCTAGGCTTCCCTTCTGGGGATGGAGGAGGTGGTGGTGTAAGTGGTCGGGCATAGACGGTGGTGACGGTGGTGGTGACGGTGGTGGTGACGGTGGTGGTGACGGTGGTGGTGACGGTGGTGGTGGTGGTGGTGGTGACTGGCGATGGTGATGATGATGACTGGCGATGGTGATGCTAATGATGAGGAGGATGAGAGACAGGAGGAGGAAGGGAAGGACAAGGACGAGTAAAAGGAGGAAGAGGAGGAAAAAGAGGAAAAGGAGGGAGAGGAGAAATCGGAGGAGGAGGGAAAGAGCGAGGTAGAGGAAGAGTCCGAAAGGGAAGTGGAGGAGTGGCCGGAGAGGAAATTGACGGCCGATGATGGGAAGTGGTGGGAAAGGAGTTCGAGGAGGTGACGGAGGCGGCGGAGGAGACGGCGCAGGAGGCGGCTCGTGAGAGGGGCGTGGAGACAGCCTGGGCCCGGGGTACACAACCTGGCCAGCTCAGGTGGGATGCTGGAGGTGGTCGCCGCTCCCACCATACCGGTTTACCGTCACCGGGAAGTGCACGTAACGGCTCCCAGGTGGGCAGCGCGCGAGTACCTGTACTTGTACAAGTTCCACCTGCTGGGCCATCTGTCTAGCAGCTAGCGGGCCGGCGGCACGAAGGCAAAAGGTATGTAGGGCATGTTCGTTAGGAAGGTATACCCATCTGGGTATACTTAATGGAGGTAATGAGAGTATGGCGAGCCTGCAGCAGATCAGGCTTCGTGGACCCTGACCTTGGTTAATATTAATCGCCATTCTTAATTCTTGAGTCACACGGCTCTCATTCAAGTCCTCGCTCGCCCTCGTCTCGCCCGTTCGTCCCCGTCCGATCTTTCTCCGTACTTTCACCCTGAGTTATCTCGGCGTCACTCGCAGCCTATGTGCACTCCCCGAGCCACTCCCTCGCCTCGGCTGAACTTAATCCTTGCCTCGATCTTCGCTTCACCTACATGCCTCCTCACGACCCGACCTTCTGGCAAAACTCAATTTCCCGGATTTCTTCTCGTCACTTTGCCCATTAACGAGCCCGAACTCTTATTTATTGCCCCTCGCTCTGCTCAGTTCTTCTTGTCTTTGTCTTCTGATTCTCTTCAGTCTCTCTTTTTTTTCCTTTCGTCTCTACCTTCGTGCGTGTCAGCCACCTGTGCGCACGGATACAAAAAATAAATAAATAAATAAATAAATTAAATAATTGGGTCGTTGTTTAAAGCAGCGAACAAATGCAGTCATGTGAGATAACTTCCGAGGCAGGAGATTCTAC